TATTTTTCAGCAGTATTTAAAACGGGAATTTTTTTTTGGGGACCCCAAAGGGTAAACTGGGGGTTCACAAGGTAAAAAGGGAACTAAAGTGCTTCTAACAACCCTGGAGCTTTCTAAAAAGGGAAACATAAAAAGTTGGGGCGAAGGGGACCCCTGATCGGGCCTGAGTACAAGTAAGCTGGGGTGTGCCCCGGGGAGCAGTAATGGGGGCTGAAATGCTGTCCGGGGGAGACAAATGGGAAGCTGGGGGTGTTTTGGGGAGACGTAATGGTGAAGCGGGGGGGCGCCGAAGACGGAAGAAAGTGGAGGGTGCTTGGGGAGAGGGGAAGTGGAAGGTTTTTGGGTGTCCGGGGGAGCCAGGGGTGAAGGGGGGGTGCGTCCTGGAGAAGTAAGGTGAAGGGTATGCGCCGGGGAGAAGAAGGGGAAGTGGAGGTGTTGTTGGGAGACAGAATGGGAAGGGAGGGGCGTTGGGAGAAAGAATGGTGAAGTTGGAGGGTTCCTGGGGGAGACAGAAGGGGGAAGGGAGGGCCCGGGAGACAAAATGGTGAACGGAGGGCTTTGGGAGACGAATGGTGAAGTGGGGTGCTGCCGGGGAAAGAAGGTGAAGCTGGAGGTGGGGGGAGAAAGTAATGGGAAGTGGGGGCGTCTGAGAAAAGGGGAAAATGGTGAGTGGAGGTCTTGGGGGAGAAGAATGGGAAGTGGAGGTTGCCGAGAGAAGAATGGTGAGTGGAGGGCGTGGGAGAAAAAATTGGGGGGGAAGTGAGGGCGGGGAGAAGTAAGGTGAAGGGGGGGTGGGGACAGTAAGGGGGGAAGCGGGGAGAGCTGTCCTGGGAGACAGCAGGTGAAGCTGGAGATTTTTCCAGGTGTGGGGGAATTTTACGCAGGAAAGGAAAATAAAAAATGCTCTAGGGGACGGAGCCGTAGTAGGGGGAAACAAGGTAGTCAAAGATAAGAAAAAACCATATTGCAAACTAAATCCAAAGGGAAAATAGCAAACAAGAGGACTCACGAAATAGGAGGATATTTACCAAAAACAACTGGGGGAGCCCCATTTGTGCTGGGGAGGATGGGAATAAGACGCACAAAAAACCCAAAGGCAAACGGAAAAAAAGCCTGTGCACAAACTATGCACTTGGTTCTGCAGGCAGGGGAAATCGGGAAAAAAAAACAGATGGGAGTGCAACTATGACCACCCTAGAAAAGCCGTCCCCAAATGAAAACAGGAAAATGAAATCCCTTCCTGAAAGCTTTTTCCTCTAAAATGTTTTTACCTTTCAGTACAGGAAAGACTGGCTATAACTTAAATTCCCAGCAACCATCTAAAGGGGAAAAAAAAGTAAAAACTCGGGCCCAGGGGGGAAAACCGGGGTAGCCACGCACCAAGAGGGAGGGTTTTTTAGTCCCAGGAAGGAAAAAAAAATGGCAGGAAAGGGCAAAAAATCGACACCAAACCAGCCTTCCCTGGGGGGAACCACGTCGATGCCTCCACTCCAAACCAACAGATACAGATACAAAATGCCAAAAAAAATTCCCCCCCGTACCAACAATACCCCCTCCTGACTTCTTCTTTGCAAATATACGGGGAAAAACCCAGCAACAAACAAAATCCCTTTCATCGTGGCCCCTGCTTGCAGAGGAAAAGGGCCCAATTTCGCGGCTTTCACTGAGGGCCCACATAAAGGTCACTTTAAAAACGAAAAATGGGTCCCAGGTTACAACCTTAAGATGTGACAGAGTGAAAAGGCAAAAGGGGGAAGTTGGCCTGTACATTGCAAGTCACTTGTTTTCACAGAAAGCTTAATGCCCCAAATGAGTAGTGGAATTTTTTTCAGTAAAGGTCGAGAACCAAAAAACCCAGTATTGTGGTAGTTACAAGCCTCCAGAGCAAATCCCCCGCAATTCCAGGAAAGTGAAAAAAAAGCCATGTTGGAAAAAACTTCCCGCTCCTGCACCAAATCTGCTCCTGGGGGATTTCAACTTTAAAGGGACCTAAAAGGAGGAATTAGCAAAAATATTGTTGCATAATAACACCCGGAGGGGCTCTGATGAAAATCACACTCCCGAGTTTTAAAAACTCTCACAAAATTCAATTTAAACCAGCAAATAATAGAACCTACTAGATGGAGAATAACTAGACTCATTTCACTAACGTGATGATTGATAAGAAATGTACCAAACAAAAACAATATATCGATACAACATAATTGAGGGTTAGACATGTATGCGTGGGCCCCCGACCGAATAATGGATTAGTCACGAGGGAGCATTCCCAAATTCAACTTCAATAACAAAAAAATAAAGTGGGACCAAGTAAACCAAGTCCAACCGATATAAAATGGGAAAAATTACTAAGCAAAAAAGACCCCAATTAGCCTAGGACAGATTAACTTTGGTGGATCGATGTTTCACAAGGCTATTCCTTAAGAAAAAGGAGGGGAGATGTAAAATAAAAGAGACGGCGCTCCTTTTCAGGCGACGGGAAAAAAATAACAGAGCCTAAAAGAGGTCAATATATCTGAAAAGCGTAGGGGGACATGGTCAGGAAAAAGCAGATCGAAAATTTTGTAAAAGGGAACTTTTAGGGTCAGGGAAACGCGGGGGAAGAACTAAAAGCCCCAAAGAATCGAAAAAAAACCCAAAATTTTCTTTTCCCATGCCAAATCAAAGTCGAGCAACGTCCAGTATTGGGCCCTACTTAAACAATTGGGTCCCACACAGATGAAGCAGGAAAGAGGAGCTATAAGTCCCAATTGACTCGTTTTTTTGAAGCCCCTAACCAGACTGAGGTCAAAAACAAAATGAATTTTTTTAAAAGGCCACAGAATTTGGTTTAAAACAAGCCCACGTGTTATCCCGACGCCAAAAGACTTGAAAAGGCGAAAATGACATGCCCATGCCTCTGCCCAGGGCCAGACTCATGGAAAAACCTTTCATCAAAACTGCAAGAAGCCCCTATACGAGTTTTTCCATCCTATGGAGAGGGAGCAGGACAGGGGGTCGTCCACGTTACTAAAAACAACAGACATAGCCCCACTCCACAAAGGGGGCAGTAAAGCAACAGCAAAGAACTACAGACCGATAGCATTAACATCCCATATCATAAAAATTTTTGAAAGGGTCCTAAGAAGCAAGATCACCACCCATCTAGAAACCCATCAGCTACACAACCCAGGGCAACTTGGGTTTAGAACAGGTCGCTCCTGTCTGTCTCAACTATTGGATCACTATGACAAGGTCCTAGATGCACTAGAAGACAAAAAGAATGCAGATGTAATATATACAGACTTTGCAAAAGCCTTCGACAAGTGTGACCATGGCGTAATAGTGCACAAAATGCGTGCTAAAGGAATAACAGGAAAAGTCGGTCGATGGATCTATAATTTCCTCACTAACAGAACACAGAGAGTAGTCGTCAACAGAGTAAAGTCCGAGGCAGCTACGGTGAAAAGCTCTGTTCCAAAAGGGCACAGTACTCGCTCCCGTCTTGTTCCTCATCCTCATATCCGACATGGGACAAGGATTGTCAGCCACAGCACCGTGTCTTCCTTTGCAGATGACACCCGAATCTGCATGACAGTGTCTTCCATTGCAGACACTGCAAGGCTCCAGGCGGACATCAACCAAATCTTTCAGTGGGCTGCAGAAAACATATGAAGTTCAACGATGAGAATTTCAATTACTCAGATATGGTAAAACACAAAGGAATTAAATCTTCATCAGAGTACAAAACAAATTCTGGCCACAAAATAGAGCGAAACACCAACGTCAAAGGGACCTGGGAGTGATCATGTCGGAGGATCTCACCTTCAAGGACCATAACATTGTATCAATCGCATCTGCTAGAAAAATGACAGGATGGATAATGAGAACCTTCAAAACTAGGGAGGCCAAGCCCATGATGACACTTTTCAGGTCACTTGTTCTATCTAGGCTGGAATATTGCTGCACACTAACAGCACCTTTCAAGGCAGGTGAAATTGCTGACCTAGAAAATGTACAGAGAACCTTCACGGCGCGCATAACGGAGATAAAAACACCTCAATTACTGGGAGCGCTTGAGGTTCCTAAACCTGTATTCGCTGGAACGCAGGCGGGAGAGATACATGATTATTACACCTGGAAAATCCTAGAGGGACTAGTACCGAACTTGCACACGAAATCACTCACTACGAAAGCAAAAGACTTGGCAGACGATTGCAACATCCCCCCAATGAAAAGCAGGGGTGTCACTAGCACGTTAAGAGACCATATAATAAGTGTCAGGGGCCCGAGACTGTTCAACTGCCTCCCAGCACACATAAGGGGGATTACCAACAGACCCCTGGCAGTCTTCAAGCTGGCACTGGACAAGCACCTAAAGTCAGTTCCTGACCAGCCGGGCTGTGGCTCGTACGTTGGTTTGCGTGCAGCCAGCAGTAACAGCCTGGTTGATCAGGCTCTGATCCACCAGGAGGCCTGGTCACAGACCGGGCCGCAGGGGCGTTGACCCCCGGAACTCTCTCCAGGTAAACTCCAGGTCTCTCTCACTCACTGGTCTCTCTCACTCACTGGTCTCTCTAACTCACTGGTCTCTCTCACTCACTGGTCTCTCTCACTCACTGGTCTCTCTCACTCACTGGTCTCACTCACTGGTCTCTCTCACTCACTGGTCTCACTCACTGGTCTCTCTCACTCACTGGTCTCACTCACTGGTCTCTCTCACTCACTGGTCTCTCTCACTCACTGGTCTCTCTCACTCACTGGTCTCACTCACTGGTCTCTCTCACTCACTGGTCTCTCTCACTCACTGGTCTCTCTCACTCACTGGTCTCTCTCAGTCACTGGTCTCTCTCACTCACTGGTCTCTCTCCCTGTCTCACAGCTACGGTGTTTGGTGACCCTCACATCTACACATTCGACAATGTGCCATACACCTTCAATGGTAAGGGAGAGTTTGTGTTGGTGCGCGTCGACTCGCTGCGTCGAGTACTGGACGTACAGGGACGCTTTGAGCAGATCACCAAGAACTATCTTGGTGAAGCCAAGGCTTCCTTGCTTACTGCTGTGGCAGGTGAGTGTGTGTATGCTGACATTATTGATGTGTTATGACTTGCCACCAGAACACTGCGGCCGTGTATGTACTGATGATAATTAACACAGTACCCACAGCTAGTGATAACTAAGACAATAATTACCCACAGCTCGTGATAACATATCTTCCATCGTGGAGGTTCGTCGTCGTCCCACCAACGCCATCTGGCGCTACCACCTGGACGTCATAGTAGACGGTGAGAGAGTGTACTTCGACAGGTACTCTCAGAAGATACAACAGTTCCGTGGTGAGTCTTACCTCTGTACGACAACCTTTGCTCTCTCTTCCAGTGTCATGATGTTTCCGCCTGCACACACTCAAGCATCACTTAACTTAAACAGAAGAATGAATGCTGAGTGGAAGCGTGGCCCATGCGGGTAGCGGGTCATTAATAATAATAATAATATTAATAATAATAATAAATCTTTATTTACTACCAGTACATGTACAAGGTATACAGACCATAGCTGACATCAATGACATACTACTATATAGAAAGCCCCTTGTTATGCTGATCATTTCCCGCAAATTAGATAAATTTTGTCCCAGGATGCGACCCACACCAGTCCACTAACACTCAGGTAACTATTTTACTGATGGGTGAACAGGGACAGCAGGTGTCTGAAGGAAACACGTCCTGATGTTTCCACCCGTACCAGGGATCGAACCACTAACAGTCATTCATTACGACTTATTTTGGGTTACGGTGCCCCGTGGCCTGGTGGCTTAATTGAGCTCTCGCTTCACACGGCGAGGATCCGGGTTAGATTCCTTGGGAGGGTAGAAACACTGGGCTTGTTTCCTTACACCGGTTGTCTATGTTCACCCATCAATAAAATGGGTTCCTGGGTGTTAGTGGACTGGTGTGGGTCGCATCCTGGGACAAAACTGACCTAATTTGCAGGAAATGCTCAGCATAACAAGAGGTTTTCTATATAGTAGTATGTCACTGATGTCAGCTATGATCTGTATACCTTGTACATGTAGAAATAAAGATATTATTATTATTATTATTATTATTATTATTATTATTATTATTATTATTATTATTATTATCTAAGACTTGTTTGGGTCTCTGTGTTGATCAGACCGACACTTAGGTAAGCCAAAGACTTCCGGTCTAGCTTAATTAACATTAATTAATACTCAGTAATTAGCCACAACCTTTACAGTTGTTAAACACCTCACCCGGGTTTAACTCTTCCCCAGAGATCATTTCACTTAACCGCTCTACCCACACCAGTCACACAGGATCACAATTCCCATAATAATATACATGATAAATAAAGCCGAGGAGGCTCCCAGAAGGCATCGACATAGACAGATCATTTAATGTTCTCAGTTTGTCTCCATGTGGGATATTATTGAGCATATAAGATAAGATTTCGTTCGGATTTTTAACCCCGGAGGGTTAGCCACCCAGGATAACCCAAGAAAGTCAGTGCGTCATCGAGGACTGTCTAACTTATTTCCATTGGGGTCCTTAATCTTGTCCCCCAGGATGCGACCCACACCAGTCGACTAACACCCAGGTACCTATTTGCTGCTAGGTGAACAGGACAACAGGTGTAAGGAAACGTGTCGAAATGTTTCCACCCGCCGGGAATCGAACCCGGGCCCTCCGTGTGTGAAGCGGGAGTTTTAGCCACCAGGCCACCGGGCCACCACGTGTGTTAGCAGAGAGTGGAGACAAGTAGTTTTTATGACTTGCCATGCTGTTGGAGTGTGAGTCAGGTAATATTAACGAAGGGATTCAACGATACCGGTTAGCACTGTACTTCCCACCTGGAGGTGGGAAGTACAGTGCCTGCACTCTGAAGGATGGGTGGAGGTGGGAAGTACAGTGCCTGCACTCTGAAGGATGGGTGGAGGTGGGAAGTACAGTGCCTGCACTCTGAAGGATGGGTGGAGGTGGTAAGTACAGTGCCTGCACTCTGAAGGATGGGTGGAGGTGGGAAGTACAGTGCCTGCACTCTGAAGGATGGGTGGAGGTAGGAAGTACAGTGCCTGCACTCTGAAGGATGGGTGGAGGTGGTAAGTACAGTGCCTGCACTCTGAAGGATGGGTGGAGGTTGGAAGTACAGTGCCTGCACTCTGAAGGATGGGTGGAGGTGGGAAGTACAGTGCCTGCACTCTGAAGGATGGGTGGAGGTAGGAAGTACAGTGCCTGCACTCTGAAGGATGGGTGGAGGTGGTAAGTACAGTGCCTGCACTCTGAAGGATGGGTGGAGGTGGGAAGTACAGTGCCTGCACTCTGAAGGATGGGTGGAGGTGGGAAGTACAGTGCCTGCACTCTGAAGGATGGTTGGAGGTAGGAAATACAGTGCCTGCACTCTGAAGGATGGTTGGAGGTAGGAAATACAGTGCCTGCACTCTGAAGGATGGGTGGAGGTAGGAAATACAGTGCCTGCACTCTGAAGGATGGTTGGAGGTAGGAAATACAGTGCCTGCACTCTGAAGGATGGGTGGAGGTGGGAAATACAGTGCCTGCACTCTGAAGGATGGGTGGAGGTGGGAAATACAGTGCCTGCACTCTGAAGGATGGGTGGAGGTGGGAAATACAGTGCCTGCACTCTGAAGGATGGGTGGAGGTGGGAGGTACAGTGCCTGCACTCTGAAGGATGGGTGGAGGTGGGAAGTACAGTGCCTGCACTCTGAAGGATGGGTGGAGGTGGGAAATACAGTGCCTGCACTCTGAAGGATGGGTGGAGGTGGGAAATACAGTGCCTGCGCTCTGAAGGATGGGTGGATGTGGGAAGTACAGTGCCTGCACTCTGAAGGATGGGTGGAGGTGGGAAATACAGTGCCTGCACTCTGAAGGATGGGTGGAGGTGGGAAATACAGTGCCTGCACTCTGAAGGATGGGTGGAGGTGGGGAGTACAGTGCCTGCACTCTGAAGGATGGGTGGAGGTGGGAAGTACAGTGCCTGCACTCTGAAGGATGGGTGGAGGTGGGAAGTACAGTGCCTGCACTCTGAAGGATGGGTGGAGGTAGGAAGTACAGTGCCTGCACTCTGAAGGATGGGTGGAGGTGGTAAGTACAGTGCCTGCACTCTGAAGGATGGGTGGAGGTGGGAAGTACAGTGCTGCACTCTGAAGGATAGGTGGAGGTGGGAAGTACAGTGCCTGCACTCTGAAGGATGGTTGGAGGTAGGAAATACAGTGCCTGCACTCTGAAGGATGGTTGGAGGTAGGAAATACAGTGCCTGCACTCTGAAGGATGGGTGGAGGTAGGAAATACAGTGCCTGCACTCTGAAGGATGGTTGGAGGTAGGAAATACAGTGCCTGCACTCTGAAGGATGGGTGGAGGTGGGAAATACAGTGCCTGCACTCTGAAGGGATGGGTGGAGGTGGGAAATACAGTGCCTGCACTCTGAAGGATGGGTGGAGGTGGGAAGTACAGTGCCTGCACTCTGAAGGATGGGTGGAGGTGGGAAGTACAGTGCCTGCACTCTGAAGGATGGGTGGAGGTGGGAAATACAGTGCCTGCACTCTGAAGGATGGGTGGAGGTGGGAAATACAGTGCCTGCACTCTGAAGGATGGGTGGAGGTGGGGAGTACAGTGCCTGCACTCTGAAGGATGGGTGGAGGTGGGAAGTACAGTGCCTGCACTCTGAAGGATGGGTGGAGGTGGGAAGTACAGTGCCTGCACTCTGAAGGATGGGTGGAGGTGGGAAGTACAGTGCCTGCACTCTGAAGGATGGGTGGAGGTGGGAAATACAGTGCCTGCACTCTGAAGGATGGGTGGAGGTGGGAAATACAGTGCCTGCACTCTGAAGGATGGGTGGAGGTGGGGAGTACAGTGCCTGCACTCTGAAGGATGGGTGGAGGTGGGAAGTACAGTGCCTGCACTCTGAAGGATGGGTGGAGGTGGGAAGTACAGTGCCTGCACTCTGAAGGATGGGTGGAGGTGGGAAGTACAGTGCCTGCACTCTGAAGGATGGGTGAAGGTAGGAAATACAGTGCCTGCACTCTGAAGGATGGGTGGAGGTGGGAAATACAGTGCCTGCACTCTGAAGGATGGGTGGAGGTGGGAAGTACAGTGCCTGCACTCTGAAGGATGGTTGGAGGTAGGGAGTACAGTGCCTGCACTCTGAAGGATGGGTGGAGGTAGGAAATACAGTGCCTGCACTCTGAAGGATGGGTGGAGGTAGGAAATACAGTGCCTGCACTCTGAAGGATGGTTGGAGGTAGGAAATACAGTGCCTGCACTCTGAAGGATGGGTGGAGGTGGGAAGTACAGTGCCTGCACTCTGAAGGATGGGTGGAGGTAGGAAATACAGTGCCTGCACTCTGAAGGATGGGTGGAGGTAGGAAATACAGTGCCTGCACTCTGAAGGATGGGTGGAGGTAGGAAATACAGTGCCTGCACTCTGAAGGATGGTTGGAGGTAGGAAATACAGTGCCTGCACTCTGAAGGATGGGTGGAGGTGGGAAGTACAGTGCCTGCACTCTGAAGGATGGTTGGAGGTAGGGAGTACAGTGCCTGCACTCTGAAGGATGGGTGGAGGTAGGAAATACAGTGCCTGCACTTTGAAGGATGGGTGGAGGTAGGAAATACAGTGCCTGCACTCTGAAGGATGGGTGGAGGTGGGAAGTACAGTGCCTGCACTCTGAAGGATGGGTGGAGGTAGGAAATACAGTGCCTGCACTCTGAAGGATGGTTGGAGGTAGGAAATACAGTGCCTGCACTCTGAAGGATGGGTGGAGGTGGGAAGTACAGTGCCTGCACTCTGAAGGATGGTTGGAGGTAGGGAGTACAGTGCCTGCACTCTGAAGGATGGGTGGAGGTAGGAAATACAGTGCCTGCACTTTGAAGGATGGGTGGAGGTAGGAAATACAGTGCCTGCACTCTGAAGAATGGGTGGAGGTGGGAAATACAGTGCCTGCACTCTGAAGGATGGGTGGAGGTAGGAAATACAGTGCCTGCACTCTGAAGGATGGGTGAAGGTAGGGAGTACAGTGCCTGCACTCTGAAGGATGGGTGAAGGTAGGGAGTACAGTGCCTGCACTCTGAAGGATGGGTGGAGGTGGGAAATACAGTGCCTGCACTCTGAAGGATGGGTGGAGGTGGGAAATACAGTGCCTGCACTCTGAAGGATGGGTGGAGGTGGGGAGTACAGTGCCTGCACTCTGAAGGATGGGTGGAGGTGGGAAGTACAGTGCCTGCACTCTGAAGGATGGGTGGAGGTGGGAAGTACAGTGCCTGCACTCTGAAGGATGGGTGGAGGTGGGAAGTACAGTGC